AATCTGAAGATGAATGTCGATCTTTCAATCTGTCAAGTTGGTTGAAGTGTGACTTCTTGCTGCTGCTGAGTTAAGCAACCACCATCGATTTTTACAAACTCTTTTGAATCAAGTATCTTTCGCCTTGAAGTTGAAACTTGACTATAAAGCTGCAAAACTTATGTATGTGAAAAAATGATAAATATGATGCTCTAAAATATATGCATAATGAATGAGTTCTTGTTTTATTCCTTGGACAGAATCTCATTTTTTGCCTGTTGGTTCCTACATGTGGAGGAAAAGCCTTCGGAAGATCTGATCGTTCGCATCAGGATTTTGAATCCCCGGAGATGCCCCAATATTCAATGTTGAATCTCCAAAAATGCCCCAACATTAAAAGTGCCCCTATTGTTCCTCATTTCTTGCTTCAACATTAATTCTAAGCATGAGATTACTTTCTGAGAGCCACATGTCATTTACCAAGATCCACTCTAGAGAGATTGTCTTGTTTGAAAAAATGTTTCTCTTTTATTTTCAAAGTTCTAAAAATATCAATTAAAAGAGTTTCGAAAAATGTTTAATCAGAAGTTTTGAAAATATTGCCCCTTTCACAGTTTTACAATTGAGACGAATCATAAAACTAGAGTTCATTGGATATCAAAGAATTAATTACAATGTTAATCATTCAATAAATTATAGCTATTTGACACGTGCCAAGATCAAAGCTATTTTTGGGAAATGGTTAAGTAAGGAAAGGATAAAAAGTCTCAGATTATTGTGTTTGGTCAAAGGTTTATTTTTTGTTTATTTGATGCTCAAAGATTTGATGGGGTACCTTGTATGCTCCTCTACTGGAAGTGTTCTTCGACTCCCAACTTTCATGGTCATGCTCGAATTGTGCGATGCCTTATCAAGGAATTTGTGTGATCGCCTCAGCTGCCCAATTTTTGTATTCGAGCCACTTTTTCAGATTTTCAACTCGAATCCTCCTTTGGTTTCAAGACGTCATTCGTAATTTACGTCTTAACCCCCCTTTGTTATTTTTCTCTATCATACATTAATTACACTATTTTTTGCAAATAACGATTAGTCCTGATGGGCGGGATGAAATATGAAGATAGTCTCTTCTGTTTAGAAATCCATGTATGATTAGAAGGGACTTTTAAGGCACGTAACGTAGGTCATGGTTCATGGTTATGAAAGAAATGGATAAAAGTCTCAAACAAGTGTTTAAGGGTGATTGAACCAAGGATGAATTCATTCTGATATATTCAATCATATCTTGCTCAATTTGAATCTGCTCGTATGTGTGTCTCTCTTGATACTCTATGATCTTCGAGTGGAGTGATTCAGTAATTCAGAAATGATTGTCCTTGATCAATCTCATTTGATGCTCTATGATCTTCGAGTGAAGTGGTTCAGTGATTTGATCAATCTCATAGTTTGAATCTCGATGCGTCGTTTGAATCGAGAGAATCTTTGCATATGCATATTGTCTTCTTTTTTCTTCAATTTTCCTTTTGTTTTTTCTCTTTTTATTTTCTCTTTGATTTTTTCTCTTTTTTCTCTTTTTGTTCCGATTGAATCTTTGCACTTGGAATTTGGTTCACCTTTCGGTATCTCATCTGAATCAATGTCTTCACTCATGTGAGCAAATTTTCTCCACTTTGCCCCCAGTGTGGAGGGTGATCCTTGGTTAGGGTTGAATAAGAAGAAAAATATTATAGGCTCAAAAGGGGACACAAGGGATATATATTTTCTCCTGTTGTGAAGGGATGAAGAAAGAAAGTAATCTATCATTTAATACATGGAAGTCCTCACAGAAGAGGTATCCCCAGGGAGATAGATTTTCAGGATTAATTTTATTCACATGAAAACAATGTAATTAATGCATGGTAGAATTATTTCGAGTGAATTCTTCTTTCTGCTTCTTGCCCCCAACATGTCTTAATGTTCAGGCTCCCTACGAGATGCCCCATGTTGTGTCTTATAAGAATGCTCATGTTCAAATGAACAACTCAATGCCTTGGGTTTTAATGGTATAAAAATGTCAATTTTGAGTCTAAAAAGACAATGATGTGACTTTATTGACTCAAAGAAAGGTATGGGTATATAAAAAAGATAAAGGCATTGTTAAAAAAATTCAAAGAGAGGTCATGTCAAAATTTGGTCTTTTTGGTAATGACCGTTAGTTATTTTGGGTAAAGAATCAAGGTATTTTATTTTAGGGTTTGAGACAGGATAAGAAAGGTCTAACCTTGTCATGTGTCAAAAATCCATAATTCTTGAAGAATTAAAAGAATCCTTAATTCATTTAATATTTGAAAAACTAAAGATTAAGATTTGTTCAATTGCTCCACCTTAGAATCGTTTAAAAGATTAAGTGAACATGAAAGATCAAAGACGTGTTCAAACAAAACAATCCTCTAAGTGCAAATGATATATGCAATGCCCCTTCTTCGGATGTCCGTGCCCCTGAACCCATCAGGTTTTGGATCTCGTGCTTCAGCGCCTTATAGTTCTCAAAGAAATGTTTGGAGCATCCTATGTGGCAACTGCAAACAGCTTCAACATCGTAGCCCTTAGGATATGTGGACTATTTTCTCAGATCATCTTGGCAGGCTTAGTCGTACAACCAGCTGATCGAGCTCATTCGTTATGATTTCAGTTTTTTCTTTTGATGATACAATCTTTCTTCCATGTGGCGTCATGTGGTTAAAACCACTTCATCGAATTCTCCATGAAGAAATTTCATGTTTATGAAAATGCTTAAAAATGAAATGTAGATGAAAAATGCAAAATGCATGAAATGTTCGAGGCATGATGCATATGATAATAATAATGAAAATAAAATAATGAAAATAAAAGATCCTACCCCACATGCTTTAATTCCTACCCGGACATGATCTCTATCCCGCATGCTAATTCCACACAAATCCTAACCGCATATTTGTCTAGTTTGCATGCTTTGAACAGAAAATAAAGCATGAAACAAAGCAGCCTAGGGTTTGGAATGAGATTTTGGGGTGGGCTCTAATTCTCCATAGCCTCCTAGTTTAGGTTCTAAAAAATGGGACCCGAGTTCTCCTTGCCGGTGCCCCCTTGCGCTTACCAGACCCTTAGTCTTAAGCCCATTACAAGCTTATGTGGACTAAGTTAAACTCGAGAGGAAACATTCCTTTATGCCCGCACGGTGAATAAATTCACACGAAGACATAAGGTATATGAATCTCGAAGGCTACTTGCTAGGCCTGCATGGTGAATAAATTCACATGAAGGCGTCGCTTTTACCCCCACTTAAAAGGGTTCGGAGCTCGGATATAGAGCTAGAGATGGAAACTTTTTCAAAAATCTGAAATCATTGAAAAAACGTCAGTACAACTATTTCCTTGAAAAAAGTAATCAAAGATAAATAATTGGAATCGAATAAAAAAATTAAAATTTAAACTTGTAATTTTCGCTAAAAAAACAACCAACAATTAATTTTGGCATGACTCACTTACCTGTCCCCAGTGGAGTCGCCAAGCTGTCGTAACCGTCTTTCGGTTGGGCCCCAGAATTGGGCTTCGACTTGAAAATGTGGATTGGAGTCACCACCGATCATTTTGAAACGAATTTAGGTGGGTCGGACACCATCTTACCTGATCTGCGTTTTTACCAGAAATGTGTCGGGTTCGAGAGTCGGTTACGGTCAAAGAAGGATTAGCACCCTTGAACCGCCCTTTCGGTACCAATTAATTTGTCGGTTGTCATAGTTGCTAAAATTCAAAATTAAAATTAAAATTTAACAGACCTGATTCAAATTACTTATAATTGATTGATTTGAATACCCTTAAAAGATAAAAACGTTAGATTCATAGCGGATTATAAAATCGAATTATGATAGCAAGTGTGCAAACGTGAGAATAATAAATAAAACAAGAAAAAATAGAAAATAACAAAATACGTAAAAAAAATAATAATAAAATAATAATAAAAATAAACAAAATGAATAAAATGTTAAAAAAAATACACATATAAAGGGGAAAAATTAATGGAATAAAAAAAGTAAAAGAAATTAAAAAGGAATAAAAATAATGTGTACTATAAAGTAGTATTTATTGAAACAAATAAAAATAATAAATATATAATACTAAGTAAAACAAGTAAAAAATAAAGATATACATGATATTAAGAAAAAAATAAAATAAAGTAAAAAATATATATATAAATAAAAAAATAGAATATTAAGAAAATATGTATATATAAACGTATAAAATATAATATTAAGAAAAAATATATATACATAGCAAATAGATAAAAAATAATACATCTATACATATATATATATATATATATATATATATATATATATATGATATAAGATATATAACAAAATAATATAATATACAAAAAAGAGAAATATAGTAAATAAATAAAAAATATAATTAAAAATATATATATAAGAGACGAAATTAATATAAAAGTAAAATTAAAGGGTAAATTTCAAGGTAAATTAAAGATAAAGATTGACTTAGGGGGGAATATTAAATACTTTTAAAAAAATGAACATGCCTCAGGAGTAGATCTAGGTTTGAAACTTCGAAACCCCACCCCTTTTTGGTCATCGGCACAACCCACGCTTTAGGTTATTCGAACCAAATCTCAAAAAAAATAATATGCACATGCGGGAAATGAACGATTCAATGTAAAAAAAATGCTACCTTTTATTTCTTTTTCGAATCGTTTACAATAGCTTTGCCTTTGTATTTTTTCGTGCTTTCCTCTGTATCTTGTATGTAAATCCGTGTCTTACAAATGGGGAGGATTACATGTTTTTATAGTGAAAAAAACTAACTATTTTTAGAATCCTATTAACAATAGAATCCTAATGCAACTAGACTCGTTGCTCGGTTGTTGCACGTTTGTTGGTGTGGTTGTTGCTTTAAAAGATATGGCGGTGGAAGAGTCATCTTAGGAGATGAACTCCTGCTAGTTCTATCTTTTAAGAAAATGGGTGTCTATAGGGTGGTTCTTAGGGGCTAAGATCCCGGTATCTTGCAAAACAAGTTGTACTGTCGAGTTATAAGCCAGTCTGAAGACCTTTGTTTCATTTGTGGTCTGTAGATTACTTGGTGGAGTTCCAGTGTAGTTAAACATGTGTGGCGGGTTACCGGGGAAGTCAGCGGTGAAAACACCACTGATGTTGAAGTAATGTGCTTGAAGCAAGGCCGTGGTGGGCATGATGAACGTCATGTTGTTGATAGCGGCTACTGCACGACTTCCGATACCAGCTTTGCAAGTCGGACAAGGGTTGATCCCAAGTCCAATGGTGAAGAAAAGATTGTGATCGATGGTTTGCGGGACTAATGCAGGGTATTTCTTGGAATTGAGGGCACGTAGAGAGTTTGTAAAGCTGTTGGCGATTGGTATTACGTTTTGCGGTGGCGGGGTAGTGAGAGTTGTGGAGGTGTTGGCGAGTGTGTCCGAGTAGTGCAAGGTTGCTGTTGCGGTAAAGTTATCAACTGCGATAGGAGAGTCCATAAAAGGGGAGGCTACGACCAAGTATTTACCGGACTTTTGATCGGCCGAGACAAGGACATTAGTGGTTTGGCCTGGGGCAATTATGATCGTATCAATTTTGAATGGTTTAACATATGTGGAATCGACTTCACCGACGGTGAGCTTGTCACCGGCAATCTTGAAAAAGAGTTTTTCATTGAGTGCAACATTGATGAGGCGTAGCATATAGGTCTTTCCATTTTTAACCGGCAATGTGAAGCCTCATGCATATGATCAGAATAGAGATTCACATCAGAGATCACAGTTTCAATTAATGTTTTCGGAATTACGGAAAAAGGAAAAGGGAGTACCATGGGAAGGACAATTGGAGATCAATCCGGGATGACTATTTATGGTGTGAGCATCCGAGACATTCGGTGCCAGTCCAGACTTGAGTGCTTCGTTGATGACATCTTCAGTATCGGATTTCCACCACTCACCTAGAACAACAACAACTTCGTCGTCTGGTTTCGGGAACGGATAACAATCGCCCCATGGACAGTGGAACGTAGCCAGAGAATATGCACATGCCATAACAATGTGCCTCTTTGTCCTGTGACGGTAAAGTTATACACATAACTTTGCCCTGTTTGGATTGGACATTGTGTAATATATGCCGAACCATCTGCCCATCCTGTTCGAAGCTGCCTTATACCATGCCTGCACAATTAAGTGGAAAAAAATGTAGAATGTCAATGCACCTTTCGGTGCAATTAAGGCACCGAAAGTAGGTGCATAATTTTTTATTTTTTGTATGGATAAATTACAAACTCTAGTCACTAAACTTTAGGGTATTTATAAGATTAAGTCCTTAAGATTTAGCTATAAATACCCTATCCCATTTAGCTTCAAAACCATCCCAAAGCATTCTAGCTTTCTTCCAATACTAGAGAGATTTTAGAGAGTTTCTTGAGAGTTGTTTTCTCCTTTTTATCTAGAGAGAATTATCATTGTTTTCTCCTTGGTAGATCGAGAGAGGTTGTAATTCCTATTTTCTCATAGTGAAATTCTTCTACCGTTGCCCGTGGTTTTACCCTAAATTTTTTTAGGGGTTTTCCACGTAAATTTTGTGTCTTCTTTATCTTCATTTTTATTTTCTCAAATTATCAGTTGCGATTTTGCTCTATCCGATAGCCGTCTTCCGCAACAATTGGTATCCGAGCTAGATTAGAGTGTGTAATATATGCTTATTGTCTTTATGGTTGCCACCAAAAGGTGGATCCTCGAACATAAGAAAATAAGAAGTTATTACCCATTCTTTGAAGGTTCTAGAGAACTATTCACGATAGTGAAATAGTGGGAGCTATCCGTAGAAGAAGCTATGACAATGAAATTTGATATTGAAAAATTCAATGGGAGAAATTTTTCATTGTGGAAATTGAAGATAAAGGCCATCCTAAGGAAAGACGGGTGTCTAGGGCTATCAATGAAAGGCCGGTGGATTTCGCAGATGACATCAAATGGAACGAGATGGACGGGAATGCTATGGCAAACTTTCATCTAGCATTAGCAGATGAAGTATTGTCAAGCATCGAGGAGAAGAAGACAGCTAAGGAGATATGGGATCATCTCACCAAATTGTACGAGGCCACATCGTTGCACAATAAAATTTTCCTTAAGAGGAAATTGTACACTCTCCGTATGCCAGAATCTACTTCAGTGACAGAGCACTTAAATACGTTGAACACTTTATTTTCTCAACTTACATCCTTAAGCTGTAAAATAGGAGAACAAGAACGTGCTGAACTTCTACTTCAAAGTCTACCGGATTCGTATGATCAACTCATCATCAACTTGACAAACAATAATGTCACCAGTCTAGTCTTCGATGACGTTGCAGCTGCTGTTCTACAAGAAGAAATCGGTGCAAGAAAAAGGACAGACAAGTAAATCTGCAACAAGCAGAAGCGTTGACAATGATGAGAGGGAGATCAACAGAACGTGGCCAAAGCAGTAGTCACAAACATGGTAGATCGAAGTCAAGGAGCAAGAAGAATTTAAAGTGCTACAACTGTGGAAAGAAGGGTCACTTGAAGAAGGATTGTTGGAGTCTAAATAAAAACTCCAATTCATAAGGCAATACCGCAAACACTTCAGATGATGGAGATGCTCTATGCTGTGAAACGTCAACCACCGTGGAAGGTAGAAAAAGATTTGTAGATATATGGCTCATTGATTCGGGAGCGACATATCACATGACCTCAAGAAGAGAATGGTTCCATCATTATGAACATGTCTCAGGAGGATCTGTGTATAGTTGCAATGATCATGCCTTAGAGATCATTGGTGTGGGAACCATCAAATTAAAGATGTATGATGGAACAATTAAAGTTGTTCGAGATGTGCGGCACGTGAAAGGCCTGAAGAAAAATTTATTATCCTACGGATTGTTGGATAATAATGCAAGCAAGATTGAAACACGGAAAAGAATCATGAAGGTGTTCCGTGGAGCGCTTGTGGTGCTGAAAGGCGAAAAAATAGCTGCAAACTTGTACATGCTGAAGGGAGAGACTTTGGTAGAAGCAGAAGCCTCTGTTGCCTCATGTAGTTTAGATTTGGCAATGCTATGGCATCAGAAACTTGGACACATGTCAGAACAAGGAATGAAAGTTCTTGTGGAGCAAAAGCTACTTCCAGGCTTAACAAAGGTATCAATTACTTTGTGTGAGCATTGCATAACAAGTAAGCAGCACCGATTGAAATTCAACACGTCAAATTCTAGAGGCAAAAATGTTCTAGAATTAGTTCATTCTGACGTATGGCAAACACCATTTACATTCCTAGGTGGAGCAAAATACTTTGTCTCATTTATTGATGACTACTCTAGGAGATGTTGGGTGTATCCTATTAAGAAGAAGTCAGATGTGTTTTCAACTTTCAAAATCTTCAAAGCGCGGGTGGAACTTGATTCTGGAAATAAGATCAAGTGTTTCAGAACCGATAATGGAGGAGAATACACAAGCGAAGAATTTGATGACTTTTTGCAGGATAGAAGGCATCACAAGACAGTTCACAGTGGCAAACACTCCTCAACAAAATGGAGTGGCAGAGCGGATGAACAGAACCTTGTTAGAAATAACAAGAGCAATGTTGAGGGAAGCAGGCCTAGAAAAATCATTATGGGCAGAAGCAGTCAATACCGCCTGTTATTTGGTGAATCGAGCTCCATCAACTGCAATAGAGCTGAAGACACCAATGGAGATGTGGACTGGTAAACCAGCTGATTATTCAAACCTCCATATATTTAGAAGTATTGTATACGTGATGTACAACTCCCAAGAAATCTCAAAGCTGGATCCAAAATCCAGGAAATGCAAATTCTTGGGGTATGCTGATGGAGTAAAAGGGTATCGCTTGTGGGATCCCACTGCCCGAAAAGTGATCATTAGCAGGGATGTTATCTTTGTAGAAGAAAAACTACAAAGAAAAGAAGATGATGATAGCGCTGAAAAGTCAAAGACTACGCAGATACATGTGGAAAAAGAGTTTGAACAAGGAGATTCTTCTGAAGCAGAACCAACACATGATGAACAAGAACCAGAGAGTTCTGAAGCTCCAATAAATCGTCAATCAGATCGTGTGAGAAGATGTCCCAATTGGCACTCAGATTATGTTATAGAAGGTAATATTGTATATTGTCTTTTAACAGAGGACGGTGAGCCATCAACATACCAGGAGGCAATAAACAGCTCAGATGCTTCACTATGGATGATGTCGATGCAAGAAGAAATAGAAGCCCTTCATAAAAATAATGCATGGGACCTTGTGCCACTACCACAAGGAATGAAGCCAATTGGTAACAAATGGGTCTTCAAAATCAAGCGAAATGGTGGAGATCAAGTTGAGAGGTATCGTGCAAGACTGGTGGTCAAAGGATATGCTCAGAAAGAAGGTATTGATTTCAATGAAATATTTTCTCCTGTGATTCGACTAACAACAGTTCGAGTAGTATTGGCAATGTGTGCTACATTTAATTTACATTTGGAACAGCTAGATGTTAAAACAGCTTTTCTTCATGGAAATATTGAAGAAGAGATTTATATGCTCCAGCCTGAAGGTTTTGAAGATGAAGAAAATAAGAACTTGGTTTGCAGGTTGAACAAATCTCTGTATGGTCTAAAGCAGGCGCCGAGGTGTTGATATAAGAGATTTGATTCCTTCATTATGTGCCTTGGATACAACAGACTTAATGCAGACCCTTGTGCTTATTTCAAGAGGTATGGTGATAACGATTTTGTTATATTGATGTTGTATGTGGATGACATGGTTGTTGCAGGACCCAAAAAAGATCATATTGAAGAATTGAAGGCACAACTGGCTAGGGAATTTGAAATGAAGGACTTGGGATCAGCAAACAAGATTCTAGGGATGCAAATTCACCGAGACAGAAGTAATAGGAAGATTTGGCTTTCACAAAAGAATTACTTGAAGAAAATCTTGTCACGATTTAGCATGCAAGATTGTAAGCCAATTTCTACCCCTCTTCCTATTAACTTCAAATTATCCTCCAGTATGAGTCCTAGCAGTGAAGAAGAGAGGATGAAGATGTCTCGAGTACCGTATGCATCAGCAGTGGGAAGTTTAATGTTCGCTATGATATGCACAAGACCAGACATTGCACAAGCAGTGGGAGTGGTTAGTCGGTACATGGCGAATCCAGGCAAAGAGCATTGGAATACAGTAAAGATGATCTTGAGATACATCAAAGGGACCTCAAATGTTGCATTATGTTACGGAGGATCAAACTTACTAATCAATGGGTATGTAGATTCCGACTATGCAGGGGATTTGGATAAAAGCAAATCTACTACAGGATATGTGTTCAAAGTTGCTGGTGGAGCTGTAAGCTGGGTTTCAAAATTGCAGTCAGTTATGGCTACATCCACAACAGAGGCAGAATATGTAGCAGCTACACAAGCCAGTAAAGAAGCAATTTGGTTGAAGATGCTACTGGAGGAGCTTGGGCACAATCAAGAGTATGTCTCTCTGTTTTGTGATAGTCAAAGTGCCTTGCATCTAGCAAAGAATCCAACATTTCATTCAAGGACAAAGCATATACGAGTTTAGTACCATTTCATTCGTGAAAAGGTGGAAGAAGGGACGATAGATATGAAGAAGATCCATACCAAATACAACATAGCAGATTTCATGACGAAGGCGATCAATGCCAATAAATTTACTTGGTGTCGATCCTCTTGTGGCCTGTCAGAAACGTAAGCAACATGATGGTACAAGGTAGAAAGAATGGTGTGAAGATATGATTGTTCCAATCAAATCTTCAAGTGGGAGATTGTAGAATGTCAAAGCACCTTTCGGTGCAATTAAGGCACCGAAAGTAGGTGTATAATTTTTTATTTTTTGTATGGATAAATTACAAACTCTAGTCACTAAACTTTAGGGTATTTACAAGATTAAGTCCTTAAGATTTAGCTATAAATACCCTATCCCATTTAGCTTCAAAACCATCCCAAAGTATTCTAGCTTTCTTCCAATACTAGAGAGATTTTAGAGAGTTTCTTGAGAGTTGTTTTCTC